GATCCCTTCCTTCAAGTTAAAGGAGGTGCTTGGAGTTTTACAGAGACACACCATCACCAAATGCAAGGAGAAGCTAAGTGTTAAGAAGTGCACTAGCTGTGAAAAAAGGATTAACTGACACAGAGAGAGGCTCTCCAAGGGGGAAAAAATCTGACACATTTTCCAGAAAGAGCTGAAGTTCTGGCCAAAACAATATAATAGCAGGGAGGGAAAAAAACTTTGAAGTAAAGGCCAAGAGGCAGATTTACTATGCTTTGTCCTAAATCACTAATCACCACTAATTCTGATGAAACACCAAGAGTGTGGACATCCAGTTTGGGTTGGAGGATAAAAGAAGAGAGATGCATTTCATGTGGAGAACCAGATTTAAATACCGTATTTTTCCATGTACAAGACGCCTCCATGTATAAGATGCTCCCCTCTTTTCTAATCCAAACTTAAGAAATCTAAATGGGGCTTAACAAGAGTGTGGGGAAAGGGATCAAAGCACTCCAGGATAGCATTGATCCCTGCTTTCCCCTCCACTTGTTTTTCTCTCCTCAGCTTACTTCCATGTATAAGACGACCCTCAATTTTTAGTTTAAAGATTTTAGACAAAAATATAGTCTTATACATGGAAAAATACAGTACTTGCATGCTGGAGCTGATGAAATCCCAAGATTCTCTAATTTCCAGGATTTGGGAATGATAACCTTTATTGAAAGATGCTTAAGGCACACATAGGTAGCTGAAATTTCTGTCAGGATCAACTTGGACCCAGATTTATTCAGGAAACAGGCTCTTAAGTGGGCTCTGATAATTTATGTGAAGAATGCTAAGTTTCCGTTCAAAGGGTGAGCAACCTTAAATCCCCTTGGCCACCTGGATGAACCGCTGGCTGCTTGCATTGTGGCAAAACCTTGGCGAGAGTCAAGTTCCACAGTCCTGATTTAACTTCAACTTCTGAAAGCTGCCTTGATAAAAGGACTAAGGCCAATGTGACAGACCCTTAGTCAATGATTTTGAACCTGATGCTTTTAAATTATAAACAGACTTGGTGTAAATGGTGGGTGGTAGTGTAAGAAAAGAGAGTAGGGACAGAGAATTCGGTTGAGGCTGTTGCACTGGGAAGGGAAACTCCACAATTTCTATCTGTACTCTTTCAATTTAAATGCCTGCCACCCCAAAAACTATTTGCACGGTGTGTTCTCTGCCCTCCCCACTTGCTCATGTACAAAAACAGGGGTCACAGTAGTTTTGTACGAGAAAGGCCATGTATAGGCTGCTATATTTATTGGACTTCATGCCCCCACCAAGGAATTCCCCCAGCCAGAATTTTGCAAGCTTTGACCAAAAAAGCAAAGTCCTTACAGCACTTTTCAGTTTACTGGAGTTAAAGAATGAAGGGTCCAGCAGCTATTATGACCGGGGGGCGGGGGAGGAGGAGGAGGAAATAAATAAGAGGGACTAAACTCTATATGAGCAGCAAAGGATTAAGGGAGTGGTAGTTCTCTGAGAAACAGAGTCTAATGAGCAGAAGGACTACCAGTCCCTTAATCCTTGCAATTCTCATGGAGTTTAGTCTGTCCCACCCATTTCTTCCTCCTTCCTCACAGGCTTCATTCCTCATCCATAACTGAAAACTCCAGTGAGAGCTTTAATTTCTTGGCTGAAACACCCTAAATTCTGGCGGAGGTAATTCCTGGTGAATTTTGGGGACTGAAATTCAAGAAATATGAAAGTCCCAGATCTAGCAATTTGATTGTGGAGGAGACTCAAGAGGAAGATTTCTTTCTTCTTTTCCAACATCACTGCCTTAAATCCAGTTCAGCCTTTTGCTGTTTTAACACAAATGACCTGTGTTTATCTCATAATGACTAGGCCAGGATAGATGGAGGTATTTCAGTCCTAGCTACAGTATCTCAACATCTCAAAAGTGAAGAAAAAGATAGTAAGTATATATTATCTCTAAAAGGAAAGAAACAAAAATATATAGATCCCTACTACTTGTATTTATCTATGTAGCCAATGGGGAACCAGTCGTTACAAGAGAGCTATCAGCAGAACTGGGGTTATCCTGAGACTTGCAAACATTATTTAGAATAAAGGACTCTGAGAAGAAAAACCTCAAATCCAGCCTGTAAAAACTGAGGAAAAAAGGGGGGGAATAGGAGGGAATGCTGGACAGGTTGGGATCCTTACATTGCAATATTTTGTTGTAGAGTGCCACCGCCAGGTCTTGATGGATCAGTAGCCTGATCTAGTACAAGATAAAATACAGCCATTACAGATCTTATGTCACTTACCTTTCCAGGTGGCTCCAAAACTGTAATTGGTCCAAAAATATATTTACAGCTTTTGACACTGGACATTATCACATTATACATGTGATCTGTATATATAGTGTGCTAAAATAATTAAGAGGAGTGTAAAAATGCAACCCATCGGTACCTGAACAAATTCATTCACCAGCAATTTATGCTCTGGGCAGCTTGCTGAAGTCACAGAACAACAATGCTGTGCTGTGACGGAAGTTTGCCATCGTCATGATTTGCTAAGACAATGGGTTGCTAGGCTGGTAAAAGCAATGTAAACTCCCACAGAAATTTTAAGAGATGTGTTTCATGGGTTAGCAATTTGCTATAACAAGCCGCAACTATGATTTTGTAAGCCGCACCAAGTGGACGCTGTCTAGGGGGGCGGGGTATAAATCGAATGAATGAATGAATGAATGAATAAACTATTGACAGCTGAAGGGAAAAGTAAACGTATGATAAAGGTAAACATTTAGTCCAGTCATGTCCGACTCTAGAGGGCAGTAAAAGGTAAAGGTTCCCCTTGACAATTTGTCCAGTCGTGTCTGACTCTAGGCGGCGGTGCTCATCCCCATTTCCAACCCATAGAGCTAGCGTTTGTCCGCAGACAATCCTCAGTGGTCACGTGGCCAGTGTGACTAGACACGGAACACCGTTTACCTTCCCACCAAGGTGGTACCTATTTATCTGCTTGCATTTTTACATGCTTTTGAACCACTAGGTTGGCAGGAGCTGGGACAAGTGACGGGGGCTCACTCCGTCGTGTGGATTCAATCTTACGACTGCAAGTTTTCTGACCTTGCAGTACAGAGGCTTCTGCAGTTTATCCTGCAGCGCCACCACGTCCCTTGTATGAGACAAGTATAAATATAGGGAAGTAAGAGAAACACACAAGATACTACCACCGCTAGATACCAGACACCAAGGAACATCGGGCAACATAAGCAGCAGCTGCATAGAGACAGAACAGAGCAAATCATGGATTTACCTCCATAGAGTCACATTGGTTTTGCCGGGTGATCACTGAAAGTAATTTTCATGGGTCTAGATACACTACATGCTAAAGATGGTTCAAATTCATGTTTTTTTACTTTTTTATGACACGTTTTAGAGATATATTCTTTGGTTTTGTATTGTACTTTTTGAGGCTATAAATACCTGCATTTTTACAATAGAATTAAAACATTATTTTCCTCGTTATTTCTATTATGTTTTTACAGTCCTATATTTCGGACTGAATTCCCACTTAAGTACTTACCTGCAACTTAAGTTCTTTTTTATTTTCTTTTTGTATTTTAAGCATTTGTACATAGTTTTTAATAGATGCAAGTTTAATTTCTGTGTCATTGAAATGTGCCCATAAGTCTTCAAAAAGTTACTAGCGTTAAGTAACTCTTGGATTTTTATGTATAGAAGCAATATAGATGAACAAAGCTTGTGGAAATAGTCCAGCATAGACATTGGAACTTTGTATTAGTCTCCCAGAGGAGATGAATATGAAGCCTTGCCAGCACAGGTGTCCTTGCAAGTCCTTCCCCACCTCCACCAGAACGAGCCCGGTCCACTGATTGGGCTTCTCAGCATGCATGGACATGCCTGGCAGCAGTAACATTGTGCCAATGATCAACGTAGTCCCGCTGGCGCTTCCTTGCCTCTCCCTGCAGCCAACCACTCCACAGCTGCACATTCAGCCGAGGGAAAACAGGGAAGCATCAGTGAGACTACAGTATGTCCACAATTAGCATCACACACACACACACACACACACAGGAGCTGGTTCTGGGGAGCAGGGAAGGACAATTGGAACACCTGCACTGGTGGGCTTTGTATTCCTTTCCCCCAGAAGATGAATACAAAGCTTCTATGTCTAGCCTGGAATAATTCCAATCTGGAATAATTCAACAACTTTTGCCTTGATATCCATATGAACTGATAGGATTGAAAAGATGATCTGATTTCACACTGGAAATTACCCTTTCAGGGATGTCAGCTGTCATGGGCCACCATAGATGCAAACTACCAAAGGATGTTATAAAGCTTTATATTGTCCTGAGGCTATCGTTCAAGAGTCATACCTTTGAATGTGGTATGTGCTTTGGAAACGGCACTGGCTTTCATTTAGATTTTGAAACTGCTGGCTGCAACTTTCAGAACCTTTCACAGTTTAGGACTGGAATGCCTGAAGGACTCCTCCAACATCTGGTGGGAGGCTGTTATTCATGTGTGTGAGGTGCAGTGGTTGGCTGTGGGGGAAAGGCCTACTTTGGAGTGGCCCCCATCTGTAAATCAATTTCTACAAACTGCTTCACTTTCCAGTTGTGCGTTTTTTTCCCCATTTTTGCTTAGTACAGAGACGTGTCCCAACCTTCTAAATCCTTAGTGTTTCTTTTCATTCCATTGAGATACTACCACCGCTAGATACCAGACACCCTCAAAGCAACGGGGGGAATATCATAGAGTATTTTTATGCTGCTTTTTAATATATCAATATTCTAAAATTTTGTCTTGTCTTGTGAGCTGCTCTGTGACGCTGGCTTGCACCTTTACTTTCTGCAAATCACACTATGTTATTGTGATCATAGTGCTCTTCAGTTGAGTGGGTTTCCATATTCTGGTTTCGGTGTCAAACTAGGTAATATATATGTGTGAACTCACTTACAGCAAGGATTCCCCGTTTATAGAATAAGCAAGCTGTTCTGCAAAAGGTCATGACCAGCAACACAGCTTTATTTTGTAAACATTTGTTATATGCTCCAATAATTTAATTGAATACCAGATTTTTGTACATTTCACCGTATACTATTAAAGTCAAACTAGAAACAAAGCAACTGGGTTGCTTTACAGTTGTCAAGACTCCTGCACTTTAAAACCTTCAAAATATACAACTGGTGTCAGAAACACTGGAGAAAGAAATACAGAGGAAAATAAGAGCACTATTGAAAAACTTCAAGTTGAGAGGAAGCTGGAAGAGAGAAAGTACAGTACGTACAAAGAAAGATACATATAAAGATATCCCAGTGAAACCAGTCTTGAAAAACTCAAGTCTTTCAAGGCGAGTCCAGTTAAAAATGCTATTTCTGAGTGCCTCCTTTATTCCCAAATTCAAGCAGCAGAATACATCTTATTCATGAAGCACATAGACAAAACTGTGAAATGATGAGGCCTAAAACATCACAAACTTGATTCTTAGAAAGTTAAAAGTTGTTGGGAAATAAAAAGAAAGGATTAAGAACCAACAAATTAAAAAAAATTTTTGGTTGAACACGGGTTGTGCCTTGATTCACAGTTGAATAATACATTTTTTTCACATCTAAAATGTAACAAAAGTGTTGAGATGGATAAATGATGGAAAGATTAAGCAACTGTTTTGTATCTTAGGTTTCCACAATGAAGGGGTTTTCTCCCAAGAGTGAGACACAGTCATAGCTTGGAATGATTCTTACTCCTCTTCCACTCTCAAATCACCCATGGAATATAGCCACTACTGACCTTTAAGCACCCTGTGCCATACCCCATCTGGCCAAAATCCCTTTGCATAACTAGGCAAATAGTGTAACTTTTTGGAAGCAAACTGCTCCAAGAAATCATCAGAGACATTGTAAGTTGCATGCTAAGCCATACAGTTTGGTATACAACAGATAATGTCTATTCTGATTTCTTAACTTGAGGCAAATTGCTTCCAAACATCGCTCCATTTGTGTCATGCATAATGAAGCAAGGGGATTTGGGCCAATGTAAGGTTTGCAGCACTCTTTTAGTGGACTGTGGTAAGATCAGCAATAAAGGCAGGGCCACCTTGATTAAGCCACCTTGATTACACATTTACAACTGCTTCCAAATGACAGCATACTTGAAACTAGCTTTACTTGTGAACAGGTGTAACAATTAGAAAGCAGGGTAAGATGGCATCTTAGGGTTGAGGAGTAAAATAGCACATTGGACTCAAGCCGAGTTTTGTGGGAGTTTCCACCTCTCTACAGTCACTGTGGCAGGAGTACTAAAGTTGGGGGGGATTTCAAAATGAAACTTGACAGAGAAAGCCATTTTACCTTTTCCTTGATGTGACAAGGTTGTGCAGCTGAAAACACTTTCAGTAAGGCTCCTCTCCCCCTGCACTGAAAATTCTCCATAAAGGGTCCAGATATAGGAGATGAAATACAGCTGAGTAGTAACATTGTGGGTTAAACTTCCACCTGTCACTATATGTCCTGGTCTAATAAACTATCATGTTGCTGTTAGATATAAAGGGCCAGACAAAGGCAGGGCTTTATAATTCTTCTTATCAGCCCTAAAGTATTTCAGACTGCTGGTTGTGAACTGCACTCAGTTTCAATTCACATCACAACCTTACCTGATTAGGCCCTTGGCTTTCTTTCAACAGAAGAAACAAGCCGGCTAGTGATCTTACCATGCTCAGATTGCCCTGCTGGTCTACAGCTTTATTCCCTGGTGGAGGACATATAGCCTATTTAATAATGTATACACAAGTATCAAACCTCACCTGCTTCAATTAAATATGACAGCCACCTTCAATATACTCATGTCACAGCAATGCAAGGCTTCTCACTATTGGCCTGCTTACTTTCTTATCTCCCACGAGAAAAAAAGACCTGAAATATTAATGTGCATATTGACTCCACCAGGTGAAGCGCTACGTCACATGCAGCATCAGAGTCCTGCTCATATTATAGGGGAAACAGAATGAAACAGAGAAGGGGGAGAGACAGACAGACAAATAACCATTCAGGTAAACTGTTGTTCATTCCTGCTTTTCAGTTGAAACTGAATCCTTCATTTGCAGAACTGATACATATAAATAGGAAGGGGGAAAAAAGAGCGCACATATAAGAAGGAATAAGTTCAAATAGAATGAAAAACAATTGTACAATTTTCCAGACTTTTCAAAATATGCATAACAAATCTGTTATAAACACACAAGATCACACACACACTCACACACAGAGGATCCTGGAGCTGCTGCATCCTATTATCATATCTTTCAAAATGTTCTCTGGGTTCTTGGTCCCCAAAATATCCATCGAAGTCTGCTAATACACATTTTTAAAAAACCCTATACCGTCCACCCTCAAAGCCCGGTTACCTAACATTTCAGACCACACTGATTTGACATCAAAGGTTCTAATTTTTAACTTTTTTTTCATCTGCATATCTACATATCACAGCTGCTGAGAAGACCCCCAAATTAGCAAAACTTGCAGTACAGAGTCTGTATAAACTATGTAAAGTTAACTGTTAACATAACAATGCGTACATTTCTCCTACCCTTCTAGGAAGGGAACATTAATAAAAATCTAGAAACAATCGAAACACAATTAACATTTTTGTGATAAACAAAGCTCCCAAGGTGGCGATGGGTTCAAACAACTGGCAGACTGTGGACAGACTTCTTTTTAAACAGTTCTCCCATAATGAGGTGGCCGTGTGAGCAGGCTCTAAATTTAACTTTGGACAAAAGATAATAATAATAATGGTACGAGCAAAAGACTGGAAGTTGCTTTTTTTTTGTTTCTGGTATATTGCAGATTTGCAAATACGACAAAGCTCAAGAAAAACAGCCCATAAAAAAGGACTCCTATGCTCAGGCAGCACCACATTTAACTCTGGTGTAATTCTACCAGTGAGGTTTCACAAAGTTTTTTTTTGGGGGGGGGGGAATTGGCCCACTCACTACATATTTGCCCATGAAGTGGTTTTAAGGTTGAGATTAAAACTGTTTACAAAACATCAACACTACGATACCAATCTTTCCAAATTCTTAATATGTAGGGAAGCTCATCAGCCCTCGTTCTCTCCCCCAATAGCATCGCCAGAGTCACAGATATTTTTTGCTACACTATTTGAATACCATTTGTGCCTCTCTAATGCCTAAAATTGTTGCGTGTTATACAATTTTAAAAAGCCAAATTTAAGGTCTGTATCACTTTGTGTATAAAAATTTCTCTTCTCTATCGTAATGGCATAGAAATGCATAGCATAGAAATTCAACAATCAGAAGGCCTAACGAAGGGTGCATTTACTTGCAAAAGAAAGGATTGATTGTCTTGAGATACAAAGAGAGACGGGCTGACAACTAAGAAGCTTTCGGTTGCAGCAGGACATGCAGTAAATGAACAGGTAAGGTAAGATAAGACATATCTCTCCCGAGTCGAGTGCAACACTACACACTTTAATAACACTATCATTGCAGAGGTCATGCTGCTGTAGATTTACACTTCGGAGAAGATTGGCACTGTTAAGTTGAATGCAACTTATTACCAAGGAATAAAAAGGCAAAATGTGAACAAGACATGGTGAGCCCTCAAACTATTTGGGGGTGTTCAGGTGGGATGGTTGCAATAAGAACAGAAGAGGGAGACCGTCCGTTCCATTCTGACAGCACCCCATCCTTGAACATGAGATTCTTTGCAGGAAGTGGGACGCCTGTGTCCGCAGCAGCTGGATGTGAAAGTAAACTTGAAGTAGAAGAGCAAGAGAAACTGACTTCTGAAAGTAATTCCACTGTTGAAATGCTTTCCTGAGGTGGGAAGAGAGAGCATGCTTCAGTACATTTATAGATGGTTTTCATTTATGCTCAAAAAGTGACAGTCCAACGTTTGGGCCAGGTTAATTGAGTGTCTCAGCTACAGTTGCAAATGTGCAATCAAAAGGAACTGAACTACCCTGGATTTCCTAGCAATTTCGATTTGGGTGCACTAGGCACTTTGGTTGACCCAAATTCTCCCCTGCAGAGCCCAAAAGATACAACACAGCCACTGTTCTTTGTACCTCTCACAGTCCACCCTCTTGCCAGGTCCACAGCAGGCAACACAGCTGTGGCCATCTGGATTTACATCATGCCTTCTGCTGTGACAGAGGGCATTTTGAAACCCTAGGACTCAGCAGCTGAGTCTTTGGCCAGCTAATTTACATGATGTTAGTATAGATGAATCAACAGCACGGGAGACGAACCAGGCAAGCCATCAAGACAGAAATAAAGGGAAACTAAAATTGTAGGAGCTGGTGAGTACAAAGCAATCAGAAAAGAGGTTCAAAAACTACAGTACTGATAGGCCTTTGCTAGGGGGTCAAGTTAGGGAAAATATGCAGTCAGCTAAAAAGTAATGAACCCTACAGAATGTAGTGCAGAGAATAGAAATATAGAACCCAAAAGATGTTTCCACATTAAATCAGCATTATGCTATTTTTTTAAAAATCTGAGAAATAACTTTACTTTCCTATGTCTTAATTGCCTTAGAAAAATAAGGATCTTCTACGTAAATATTAACCCAAATAATGCATCTATGTTTTTTATACTTGTAAGCCACTTTAAATCCTAATTCTGCGAGAAAGGCTGGGTATTAAAATAAATAAATTACCTGGAATGAATGAACAAAGCTAAGAACCTGTAGAGAAAGTTTTCTACTGGAATGTAACAGTTTTTGAAGGCTGTCAAAAGAGGAGAGGGAAGAAATGATAATTTCATATAAATGGCTTTTGTGTGATCAAGATACATACTAATCAACTATGTTTCTATATTGTTATCTCTGTCAATCTGTGAGCCTGTATTATACCAAAACAAAATCTCACCTCTCTCTGCTACACAGTCCATGGCTTGCAATTTTTCGGCAGACTTTCCTGTTTAATTCAGAGCTGAAGAGCGGAATTCCAAAGCACAATTCCAAGGGAACCCATTCCAGTTCGGTTGTGGGAACTGTACAGATACAGGCAAAAGACAAGGTGGAACTGAATTGCAAAGAACGTTCAACTGTTTACCCAGACCTGAAGTCACCTCCAGCACCTGGAGGGCTAACACAGGTCCTCCAGCAGCTTCGGATCACAGGTGCTACCATTCCTGGTCCATATGGATGCTGGTCATCCCCGGTGGTTGTGGATTATATAGGATGTGTAAGCTGAAACCACTGGAGGGATCTGGGTTGGAGAATGTCTGAACTAAAGATATATTCCAGTCCTCAAATACATAGGTTACTTTTATTCTTCCTCTGTGAAAGACAAATAATACTGAGGAAGCTCAGCCCTCTGACTCCTCGGGTTGGTTAACTTGGGGGAACCTGAAGGAGGACATATACATGCACCCTACTGGAATAATCTGTGGGAGAAAACGGAAAACTAGAAAGGTCCCACCACTGTTTGTGATTTCAACTAAAGAAGGGTTGTCATGTACCAAGTATGTCAGGGAGCCAGCTGAGCCACACATTTCTCTCCTGAACTCACTGATTCCTACTCTAGCTTTCGTTGTGTGTTGCCCTGTATCCTTCTGCAGCCTATTCTATGCCTAAATTATGCACCACTCAGTGGTTTAGGTCTCTGGCTGCAGACCAGAGGTTGGGAATTTGATTCTCCCCCTGTGCCTCCTTGACAAGAGCTGGATTCAATAATCCACAGGGTCCCTTCCAGTTCTGCAGTTCTAAAATTTATAATGATTATGATGCAAAGGATGCTTACCTACTTGCCACACTGTCACTAGCCCACACTTCAATCATTCTGCACAACACAAAGCATACTCCTGAGGTGATATAAATGCCACACAGTAGCAACAGACAGAAATTTACCGTATTTTCTATATACAAGACAAAACGTTTGTCTAAAATCTTTAGACTAAAAATTGAGGGTCATCTTATACACAGAAGTAAGCTGAGGAGAGATAAAAAAACAAGTGGAGGGGAAAGCAGGAATCAAATTGATCCTGCAGGGCTCTGTCCCATTTTTCCCCTCCACTTGCTAAGCCCCACTTAAATTTCTTAATTTTGGGTTAAAAAATTGGGGGGCGTCTTATACATGGGGACATCTTATACACGGAAAAATGCAGGTAATCTCCTGACAGAGCAGACAATTTCATTTTCCCAGAAAGTAAAATCCATTCCCATTTTAAAAACATTACCTTCAGGGTTTTGCTTTGCCACAGGATCTATGGATGGCTCTTCAATGACCATTTCAAACGACTCTGTGCTTCCATTTACATCTGAGCCCAGGGCCAGCTCAGGCTCACCTAAGAGGAAAAAACAATAGCACAGACTGAAGAAGCTACTTGGATGAGTAGCGAAACGTTTCAACCTAATAGGAAAGAAGTCCAGTTGCCACAACCCAACTTCCAAATAGCACAGATATTTCTGTTTACGTGCCAAGTTTTCTCCTGTGTCTCAGTACAGAAGTGCTTCTCTAACAGGAACATTCTTGTATTTCAGATAGGCTCCGCCAGGCTGCTTTCCACTCACAGAGATGATGTTGCACACAAGGGGCTCTGAGCTACATTCTAGAGCAGGGGTCCCCAACCTTTTTCACCCCATGGACTGGCTGGGAAAGGCGGCCATTCACGCCCCGTGAATGGCCACGCACATGCGCAAATGGCGGCGCAGCACTCACATGGGCACGCTGGAGTGCGTGCACATGCACAAATCAGCTGTACAGGGGTGACTGCGTGCAGGGGTGAGAGGTCTGTCTCTGCTGCCCGGTCTGGCTCAGGCCACAGACGGGCACCGGGCTGCGGACCAGAGGTTGGGGACCTCTGTTCTACAGGATGCTCAGGGCTGCTCACTGCCATTCAACTACTTTTCACAGCATGGAACAAACACAAATACTACCAGCAGCCAAATCAAATAAGGAAGATTAATTGTTGACCAACCTTTTCCATCCGAAGCATCACTCAGCTTTCTGTTCGCACTGTGACTAAAAGGGTTCAACATGGTTACGTAGCCACAGAAGTGCTGCAAATCCATCTTCTCCCTCAGTATCTTCAGCGCTTCATGAACACCCATGTTGAGACGAGAAAATTCTAGGCAAAACCCAAACAGCAGCACATCAAATCACGAGGCTACTGTAATAAACCACTTAACAGGAAGGCTAGACAGCTTTGTGAACCAGGTCAACCACTAGGACAGGGGTGGCAGACTTTTGGCACTCCTGATGTTTCGGACTACAATGTCCACAGCCTTTTCTCTTGGTCAGTACAGGCTGGGGATTCTGGGAGGTGTCATTCAAAAAAATCTAGAGGGCCAAAGATATGTCAAACCTGTACTAGGGTCATCAGTCAGAATGTTCAGATTCTGTAGTAACAGAGATATCCAGAAACAGCTGGAGGTCCTTCCTTCCTCCCTAACAAAAAAAAATAAGAGATGCAGAACAATGCAAAGTTCTGGAAAAAAGGACTTCAAGAACTACTGGTATCTGATAAAAATGTTCAGTTTTGGTATTCATGTGTACACAGTGCTTTCCAGAGTTCTATGGCATCAATTTCTTTAGGTTTTATTATTTGTCTGAATCATGTTATTTCAGAAAATAAATATTTTAAGTATTTAATTGCTTTATTCTCACAATTTATTGTGTTATCGTTTAGTTTTTTTAAAAATAACTTGGGATCCAGCCTAACTGGGAGAAAGGCAGAACGTAAATGAAAATTAATTAACAGATAGATCAACAAACAGGTTATGGATACTATTCGGATGTTCATAGCTGAAGTGTAACTCAAAAATGGAGCCAGAAGCCAAGGGACAGCCACAGTCGGTAGCACAGCACATGCAGAAGGCCCCAAGTTCAATCCCTGCAATCTCCAGTCAGAAAAGATTCAGGCAGTGGGGGATAGGAAAGAACTCTGCCTTATTTAAGGAGCCCATAGGCAAGAAAGTCTTCTAACAATAGGGTTTTAATTGGATGTGCTAGCCTTATTTTTTGTAATGTATTACTATTATTTTAGTAACAATACATATATTGTTTTAATTGTATTGCAGTATAATAATAATTCTATTTTAATATCTGCAATTTACTGTATTTTATTATGTTTATTTAAAACTATATTGGAAGTCTTCTCAGGTCACAGGCAACATACAGTATAAATAAACCAACAAAATGAACAAACGAATAAATAAGTAAAATATATATACTTCTGAGGACAAACTGGCTAGTTATTTATCTTTAAATAACACCCTGTTACTCTAAGTGGTAAGATTTATGTTTTGAGGATGCAATGGTGCACACACTGTCCAAACCAAGCAGTCTACATAATACAGTGCAGTTTACCTCCTTGCTGTTCTGTTTCATCAAATGGGAATGGCATATGGATGGTCTCTCCTATACCATGCACCCCATGTCCCTGAACACCAAGAGAAAAGTTAATCCATGAAATTAACATCGTAACCACCTTCATCTTTTCATTTTCAAAGGTGCCTAGACTTGTGTCACAGAAATGTTTGGTGATGTAGGCCTACTACGATATATATGTCCCTAATCTGACTTATAAAATAATTTCAAGATCCCTAAGAATCTGTGTGTTTTAAGAGGAGATGGAAAATTATTGCCAGAAGAACCAAGTATTCTGGGTGCTTCCTGAGATACCATGGTCTTTCATCCACATAAAAATCACGTTCTATGAAAGGAATTGCATAGACATCTCAGGTGCTGATGGTTGCACCATTTAGGCCAACTTTGGGCCTCCAGATGTTCTTCACCACCACCTCTGCTGGCCAGGATTTCTGGGAGCTGAAGTCTGAGAACATCTGAAGGCCCAAGGTTGGGGACTACTGATTTGGAGGACTATAGAAAAAGTTAAGGGAACAAATGTCAGAACATCTGGAGCCCCAAGGTTGGGGATTTAGAGGACCACAGAAAAAGTTAAGGGAACAAATGTTAGCATTCTTTCAACCATAAAGACCACCAAATTACAGCATGTTTCAATGGGAGATTCTTTACCCCAAGAAGTATGGTAAGGGCGGGGGGATGTTCATCACTATTCAGATTTCTAATGGCAGTCTTGGGCCTCAGCACATTTTTTCGAACTATATTTGTCTTTGAATTGATTTTTAACATAGCTCTCCCTATGCCCAGTTTAGCTGAATCAGAATATTTTTGATTAAGTTTGACTTCTTTTGCGCTGGGTGGATGGTTTGGGCACTGATTTCTCACTTCACAGCTAAACTTTATTAAGTATCCCTTACCTGAATCAGAACAGCAGAATGAGTCAAAGCATCATTCAACATGGTCAGCACATTTGAAGTAGGGACCACTCCTGGGTCATGCCCCCAAGACGTAATTAATAAGCGGTCATAACCCTACAAAGCAGAATTGAAAACACAGTAAATCATATTAAGATTCAGATGACTAAAGATTTCTATTAAGAATAACATCCTCTGGTATCTATAGTCTTTTGCAAATTGTGCAAGCAAGATGTTCCTAAACTCATTTTTTTCAGCCTTGACAGGTGAATTAAAAAGCCTTGGCCTTTCTGTTTGGTGGAAAAATATTTAAATTTCCCTAGATTTGAGTTTGTTACTCCTATCCCTATAACTCTGTTACTGAGTATTCGTCTAATTGATTCTAATTCAATATATTCTGAAGAAAAAGTTGGAGTATAATGACATCCTGACCAAATACAAACATTTTTCTTAAACCCCGTATCTTGAACTCTTGTTTTGAAATTATCTGAATTTACTGCATTCTAGTTTCTTCTGCTGCATATAAAGTTTGTTAAAATGTTTTTTGAATGGCATCTGTTTCCTTATTTGCAAAAGGCCAACTGAATTAAAAAATTAAACTGCTTAGGGCTTTTAGCCTAGATTAAATATCACCTTTCTGTACTACAACACAAAGAATAAAGCATTCTAGAAACAATTCCATTACAGAAAACATTTGTTTTCCCCAAACATGTTACACCTACCTGAAAGATTTCTGGCAGTTTCCGAAGCCTTGTTCCTTTAGATAACAACAAAGATGGAGGCCCTTGTCCAGTAATGTGATAAATGTAGAGTTTGAACCATACTGAGCTAACTTCTGGAATAGCTGGCCCAATATGCTATGGAAAGATTTAAAAGGCAGTAGTAAGTGTCACTGAAGCAAGAATGGAAAACATGATATTCTTACAATCTTTGGAAGATACTATTTTGTCAGCACATGCGTTTACCCTCCTGGTCTTACAAAGAAGCACCAGTGTTTTTAAAAGGCGATGATAGCAATACTGAAAACATGTCACACTACAGGAATTTATAGCTAAGGTTCATATTCCCAGTGAGTCACCTGGAATCAATGAATAATTTTGGGAACCTGTATAACAGCTGTTTTCCAACCAAGATTCCTGCTAAGTTGGGTGCGTGCACGCATGCGTGCATGTCTCTGCCTCCCTGCGCACAACTGCCTTCATCCTCTGCACAGTGATCACGTTACGTTCCAGTCTCGATGGAACACAGCATGTGGGGGGGGGCAAATTTGTGCATGCTCACAGGGGTGAAGTCGCACACACGCAAGAAAAGTAGACAGTATATTGCTTCCAACTATCATGAGAAGGTAAAACTCAGCCAAATCATTTGAGAAGTCAGTCTGTTAAGTTATTAAGAAATTTATTCACTTGATTCACACTTTGCCTTTGGATCTAGGCCATATCTACTATGTGGCTTGCAAGAAAGAATACAACAGGTGCCACACACATACCACAACTCTACACAAGGAGCTGGCACATAAAAAGGAGCATTACACCAGGTCTGACCATTAGTCCTTCTAGCTTGTCCGTCTACTTTTTCAAATAAGGCTCCTCCAGTTTCAGGCAGAGGCCTGCCTCCATGATCTGCTACCTGACCTTTCTAATTAAGACACCAGAGACTGATAACCTATATTAAAGATATAGAAAACATCTTCTTTCAAAAAGCCTTTTATACACCCACTGCAGATTAATTATGTTTGTCTGGTTTTAACTATGGCATCGTTGCACTGACTAGTTCTTGCTTACGTTAAGAAAAGTGTGGTCAGTGCCAGGATCCTGCTGGAAAGAAACTGCATGGAGAAGGTTAATTGTGAATGTGGCTTCCCCTTTGGTGCGAGGCCCACTGCATGACAGTTGCAAACTTTTGACAGTTACAAATTTGCATGACTCGTTGTCTGACTGATTGTACCAAAAGGCAAACTGCTTGTATGATTACTACCTTCATGCACATTTTGTTTCCTAATGAGATTCTGGCCAATGTACTTTAAATAGTTAAATGTCCATGTTGGTTTTAATTGCTGTGAGCACTTTTTGCTGCTGTGTTGTTGGGAGGCAAGTAGAAAGCACTTCAAATAGATGCTGTTTTTGTGAGTGGCAAACGCAAGGAAAGGGCATCAATACCCTGCTAAGCGGAAGTGCTACATAAATGCTAAGACCAAGGAGTTACACAGGAAGTGATCTCTTCCCATTTCAGTCAGTATTCGTTTGAGTTGTTTCTTACCTGGGGTGTACAACTGCTGATGGGTCGGATTTCGTTGGTGAGAGGTGCCATGGAGACGAGCAGTGTGTAGTTCTTGTTCAGAACTCTGCTGCATGTTGCAGGATCCAAGCCAAGCAAGCTTTCACAGCGCAGTAAATCCAGAGGAAAGCCTACATTAACAATGTCAAAGACACTTGGAATACAGATAGAGAACGAACATATACAACTGAAAGGGGTACAGGAAAGGGGGAGGGAGAAATACAAATTTAGATGGTCTCTTCCTCTGTATTTAAATGCAACTTAAAACTTACCCATTTATAAAGGAGCCCAACAAGAGGGGGAAATACCTTGGCTGATAAATGTCTAATTCATGAGCCCTGCCAGCCCACACCAAAGTGGAAAAGGCTTTTTTTCCCCCTGTAGCAGATGCTATTTCTAATTTCCTGCCCATTAACTTCACTGGGAAGGGGGAAATTAAGGCATAGGTATTTTATTTTTTGCAGTTTTGAGTGGCTGATGGGGCTAACTGCTCTGACATCTCGGCAGCCTTAGGCAAACCGTTTCATAGAGCTGCCAGAAAGAGGTGATTGGCAAACCACTTCCAAGTACTCTTGTACCCAGAAACCACTAAGATTCTGTCATGCATTAAACAGCATGATTAAAATGAAAGACCACCCACACAACAACCTTCTTATGAAGAAAGGGAAGGCAAGGGAGCCTTGGGACCTTTGGGGGTAGAGGGAGTTGGAAGTTTTTAATTTCCAAAAATCTGCCCCAATTGATGATGTTATCAGCCTTATGCTGCTTAAGGTATGCTACTAGATTTCAGCCAGTGACATTCCACCAGAATCATAAAATAATGGAGTTGGAAGGGACCATAAGGCCATCAAGTCCAAACCGCTCCCTGCTCAATGCAGGAATCCAAATCAAAGTATATCTGACAGATGGTTGTCTAATGATTCCATGTTGGAGCACTCACCACCTCCTGAGGCAGTTAGTTCCATTGTCATACTGCTCTAAAAGTCAGGAAGTTTTTCCTAAGACTCATCTGAAATCTGGCTTCCTTGTAACTTAAGCCAATTATTACATATCCTGCACTCTGGGATGACTGAGAACAGATCCTGTCCCTCCTCTGTATGACAATTGTTTCAAATATTTGAAGAGTGTAATTGTATCTTCCCTCAACCTTCTTTTCTCAAGGCTAAACATGGCCATTTTTTTCAGTCTTTCTTCATAGGGTTTGGCTTCCAGTCTCCTGATCATCCTTGTGGCCCTTCTCTGAACTTGTTTCAGTTTGTTGGCATCCTTTTTAAAGTGTGATGTCCAAAACTGGACACAGTACTCATGATGAGGCCTAACCAGTGCTGAATAAAGGGTAGCTAATACTTCATGGAGACTATATTTCTGTTAATGCAGCCTAAAATAACGCTGGTCTTTTTTTGCAGCCACATTGAGCTCTTTAAGTTTTCTGATTTACAATTCCAAGATCCTTCTTGCTCATAATATTACTGAGACAGGTATTCCTCCATCTTGTACGTAACTGTGCATTTGGGGTTTTTTTCTCTCCTAGGTGTAGAACTTAGCCCTTATCCCTGTTCAATTTCATTCTGTTGTTTTCAGCCCAGTGCTCAAGCCTATCAAGATCTTTTTGACTTTTGTTCCTGTCTTCCGGTATTCACCATTCCACCCACTTCTGTGTCATCTGCAAATCCAGTAAGCATTCTCTGCACCCCCTCGTCCAAATCATCAATAAAAATGTTAAAGAGCACTGGTCCAGAACTGAGCCTTGCAGTACCCTACTTGCTACTTCCTCCCAGCCTGAAAAGGAGCCATGGACAAGCACTCTCCAAGAACACATTTGGAACAGTTTTTCAAAATCAGCCAAAGTCTTTCATTAAAGTAGGAACCACCAAGCACATACAATGGGTAAAGAGTTTCTTCGAAAACAGAGAGGTTTTTACTGTACCATTATTGGGCTGCTCAGGCTGTGTAACTTGAGCCACTAGATCCTTATTGTGTCTCAGAAACAGTATGGTGTTTCGCAGAGTAAGTGCATGATCAAAGTATCTTTGAGCTTCACCCTCTCCCGTGCTCTGAACCTAAATAAGAAAACATGAACATGTGCTTTTCATGAGCTGTTTATATCAATACTATTGACATAAAAAGTTGAATTTAGATATTCTAAACATTCCAAATTCAGTAATTATGAATACAGGACTGCTTTAATACCTATAAAATATTAATAAACACGACTACATGTCTAGTACTTTAGCTATCATATATTTGCTGAAGACAATATTGTAATGCATTTCATATAAGTGAACGGCATTTAGACAGTATTCTCCAACCTGGCACTGTCCAGATATGTTGGATTAAAATGTTTATTATTCCCAATTTCAGTAGGGCAATATCTATGCTGTTTGGGGATATGCCACAGTTCACCTCTTCTGGAGGGTATCGGGCCAGAGAAAGTAGACGTTGTTCCATTTCTGTAGGTTAGGTTTCTGTATATTTATTTATTTTATTTATTAGATTTATATACTGCCCATCTAGAATGTGTCTACTCTGGGTGGCTTACAATATATAAATAAACTAAGATAAAATCCAGATTAATCCAAGATGGGAAAGGAAAAAAGAAAGGGGGGGGAAGAAGAAGGAGAAGGAGAGAAAAGAAAAAGAAGAAAAAGGGGTGCCCTATCAATTCTCTCAACATCTACAGAATGCCAGTTTAGGTTTCATTACAAGTTGTGGGAGGAAGTTACGGTAAATACAAATGGATAGGATGTGATTTCTTCAAAGGTAATAGGGGAAAGTGTCCTATTTGCATTATTGTTTTTTCTTTCGTTTGAGTAATCAGATGGAACAGAAATTCTTTAAGAGGGTGGTAATTAAAAAAACACTATCACAATTACTAGAAGAGGAAAAATAAAAAAAGAGAGAGGGGAGATGTTCCTTAACAGGAAATGGGCAAATAATGGTACTTTTGCTCATCAGGAAAAGAAAAGTATTCCCATTTTATGAGAAGATATTCTGAAAGTTAATGTCATATTGCTTTCTGGATTTTGTGAATGTAAGCATACAGTGCTACTTTTAGAATTCTTCTGGATTTTGTGAATGTAAGCATACAGTAACTGTGCCGCCTTTCATCCATGAAAGTGCTACTTTTAGAATTTAACTGCTCATATGGAATATATGTGATGTGTGAAAATTCTGCAGAACTAAACCTGACCACCGTCATCACCCTTTAACCCCATGAACTTACATTTACCTTTTCAAGTTCTACAAGAAAACTGTCCAGAGACTCATCTGACAATTTTCCCACTTCAAACATGGTGACTGCATGACTTTTCAAATTCTGTAAGAAAGGCAAAATTCAGGTCCTCATGTCTTTACAGATTGGTGCATTTATCCAATATTCAACAGAGTTCATAACAATGTATCAGGAGTACAGACATGGTTATCCCTTGTATTCAACCTTTTTTGCTTGTCTTTGAAAATTATTTTCAGCAATTTCAGAATGCTCCGTTTGAGCAAAGAATATATTGAGTTTCTTTTAAAAACTTCATTTCTACCTGAAGCCAAGGAACATTTTTGAAGGGTTTTAAAAACATTTTTCTACCAAGATGGTAAGCAATCTGACTTACTGGAGAGAGATTCCCCATCATTAAAAAGGCAGTAAGAGTTGAATCAAACAGGAAGGCGATGCGCTTTGTGTGCCCACTAGATATGCTCAAGCTGCTCACACTGGCAGTGTCACCTAAGAAGCAACAACAAAATACAAAAGCAAGACTGGCAACTTCAATCATTCTGACAGCTAGTAAATAGTCTATGGTATGAGAGGCTCAGCTTCCCATTCCTAAAAGCAATTCCCTGAGCTTCCCCTCTCATAAACCCATGATGTCTTGTCTTGCCCTGACTTACTAGGTAACATCAGCTAGACCGCTTTATCATCACAATGTGCTTATCTTACTGCTGCAAATAAGCTCAGAAGCAGTCAGGCGCTTCTTTGCTGCTAGGCATCCCTGAAGTCCGTTGCAACTGGGATTCCAACCACTTGTTCATAGGCTGTCAACTCATTTCCAACTACAAGTAGGTTAACCACTTAAAAGTCATCTAGACTACCTTGCCTGTACAGAGAAGCCACTGGAGAGAGACTCTGAGAATTTGAAATAGGCAGAGGAATCCTTCCAGAATTGTGGCAAGATAGTTCAGCCACAATCCACGGAACCCAAACCAAAAAGTGCTACAGCAAGAAACGATAGCGATGCAGAGCATGAAGGGGAATGCATTCTAGTTGCTCACCTTGGTCATCTTGACTATTTGTATCTGTGTCTGTAGCAGATGATCCAGCCTCCTGTACTGGACTCCTGCTCTCCGCATTTTCCCAGGATAAGAGCATCTTCTGTGGGTCCAAAGTAGTTCTGGCAACGGGGGTAAGGGCCAGAGGAACATAAAAAGAGCACTGCTGGATCAGACCAGAGACCCATCTAATTCAACATTATGTTTCCCACACTAAGCAAATGCCTCTCTGGAAGCCCACAAACAGGCTGTGAGGGCAGTAACATTTAAGTAGATAAAAAACAATGTCTGAACTCCTGTTACACATAGGAAGTCAAAACTAGAATAGGCCCACTAGAATAAGTGCTTACTTCTCTCTGAAAGACAACACTTTGGCATGGAAAAGAGAGGTTTAAGACTGAGTCATGTTATCCCTCAAAAGGGCACCCTCCTTAGTATATACTTAGTAATTTTTTTCACAATATTTTTCCCAAAATCTCCTTGCCTAGTGCACACTGGGTGTCAGTGACTACACGATCGCTGAAGGTGAAGGCAATTTGAACAAGGATACTGTGAAAAATATAAACTGTGAACAATAAAATTATAATAAACAAAAATGCAACTTTTGGGGATGGGGAGGAACCACATGACTAAATCAAGACTTTGTGAGTAGAGGCTTAAATCAATTAGATTTTAATAGTATTCACCATGAATAGCACCCTTCCACTGCTGCTCTTTAGCAGCTGATTTGAACTGCAGTCACTAGAACACCATATAGGAATTTTCTCTGTCTCAAAACACTTTAATGATGGATGCCTCTTGAATTTTGACAAAACGAGATTAGTTTGTATCACAGATTTCAAGCATCAAACCCAACCTCCTCGTCAACACTAGCTTTTTTCCTAATATTCTTAGACAGACAAAATTCCTTTTTCCTTCTAAGAATGAATAGCAGTTGTAGGTTTTTCAGTCTGTTGGGCCGTGTTCCAGAGGTTTTTCTTTCTAATGTTTAACCAGTATCTGTGGCTGGCATCTTCAGAGGACAGGAGTTCTAACTCTAATAGGATCCTGGCTGTGAAAGCCTTTGAGAATACAACGAATGGCAGTTTTTTAGCCCAATCTTAATAGGTTTGCAGAAGAATAGGTGCCACCAGATTCAATGGTATTTAGACACAGGTAAGTATGCAAGGGACATGGTGGCGCTGCGGGTTTAAACCGCAGAAGCCTCTGTGCTGCAAGGTTGGAAGACCAGCCATCGTAAAATCCATGTGATGGAGTGAGCTCCCGTTGCTTGTCCCAGCTCATGCCAACCTAGCAGTTCGAAAGCAACCTAGCAATCTGAGTAGATAAATAGGTACCACTATGGTGGAAAGGAAACGGTGTTCCGTGTCTAATCGTGCTGTCCATGCGACCACGGAAACAGTCTACGGACAAATGCTGGCTCTACGGCTTAGAGACAGGGATAAGCACCATGCCCTAGAGTCGGACACGACTGGACTAAATGTCAAGGGGAACCTTTACCTAAGTATGCAAAATATCACACTCTGAATCTGTAATCTGGAAAAGCTATTTAAATCAAGATGATGCAGTCACAGTGGCTCAGTGGGGCAAGAAGACTGACCACCTTTCTTTTCAGTAAAGGAACATAACTATGTACTTACTTCAGCCTGTTTATAGATGGAACATTTCGCCATGAGGAATGAAGATTATCTAGATTTATTACTTGGCCCTTCTTATGAGCGAAACCTAACCGGCAGTACATGGAAACAGCATTCTGAAGAGAAGACAACATTCACAAATCAGTACCTTGTATTTTTGTTTAACAATTCTAAAAAAGAGTGCATCATGAGGTCCCCCAACCCTTATACAACTGGACTGAGCAGTGGCCTACCTTCACTAGTGACAGGTCTATCTCTAGGACATTCGCAAGCTGGAAGTTTAAAAACATTTTAAAAAAATTAGTGATAACTTTTGCGCTAAATGAAATCTATTAGTGTATTTTCACTCAGTAGGATCTGATCATTCAACCAGTCAAAATACACTGCCTTAACTAAAGAGGTATTTAAAATATTCAACAGTAACCAAATTATTCATTTTTTAATATTCTCATGATCAAGAAAATATGCAATCATCAGTCTGGCCAATTTGATCAGCAGCCCCCTCTTATTCTGAATTAATTTCTTAAACTAGTGCAGAGTCAAAACTTTAAGAAAAGTTTAAAACACAAACTCTGATGTGGCATGTAAAGCCATCACCTACATAGACTAGCCATTTGTATTTTTCAGAACCACTAGTTTTCTTTAACAAGCCATTTAGAAGTTTTTTGGGGTTGGGGGCTCAAGCCCTTGACTTCTATCTGGCTATTCCTGGGTCTCAGTCTAGTCCTTTGATCTTCCTCAGATAGCCACATCTCATTCCTCATGATACCCATCCATATCTGCTGGTTTACTGCACTCTCCCCCCCCCGGCCCCCTAGTTTTAAAAGGTTCAATCTCCTCTTCAAATGTTTAGCTACTGGCAGGAAGAGCATTAAGCTAAACTTGGCTAGCACTGTCAGTTGCACCTTTTACTTAGAAAAAAAGATCTGTGAAACACATTGCTTCTCCCTCCCCACCAAAGAAGTTAGCTATCAATTAATTCCAGACATGACAGTCTGGCACTATTTTTTCAGGGTTAACAGCAACAAAATTACACAAGGAAAACACTGCACACACAAAAAAGAGACACTGCATTATCTATGCAGGTGCTCACACTCACTGTGTGATGATGGACTGGAAAAGCATCAAGCCTTCCTTGCTCAATCTATACTCCACTTGGGAGTTCCCATGTGCATGTTCACTTAGGGAACTTTGGACATAGAGCTCAATGCGTGAATGTCTGATTGACACAGTTTGTACAGACAGAAAAATGAAGTACGGGTGACTTTGGCTTTTCAGTAGGGTCCCCATGCAAAAATTAACTTCTGTGCAGAAGCTACCAGGAGCATTGGGTCATTACGTGAAGACAGCGTAGGCTGACAGAGTCTCAATTCTCCATTACGTGGGTCGTTTGAGTATCTGCATATATCTGAGCCTATCATTCAGTTTCCCAACAGATTCCTGTTTGCCAGATGCAGGGAAGTGTTGAAAAACAACAACAACTTACCTCTGCCACATTTGTATGTTCATCTATTGAAACAAATATCTTGTACAGCAGAGTTTCAAAATAATCGCCCTGAACTCTGTTCATAACAAAACCTTCAAGCGGGGGCACTGAAAAGAGAGGCTGCATAAGAATGTGGTTGGAGGATAATACTGAATACGTATCAGGCCCCAACATAACTTTGTAGAAACACATATTCCTACCTCTTTGTCTAAAAGAGGAATCCAATTTAAAGAAGACCACCTCAAGTAAAGCTAATGAGATGCCCTCATTTTTCAAATTGTATGTTAGAAAGCAAGAATGTGAGAGTACTACATCTGCAGGATCATCTATATGGTATTTGCTGCAAACCCTTTTGTTACGGTTTGCAGCAAATTGCACTTGTTTCATTGTTTTTACCCACAAGGACATACACTGCCAAATCTACTGTCCCAATTACACATCTGTTAGAACTCTGCTATCCAACCCTCTCCGGAGTATGAGTGCAGGAAGGTTTCTGCTCTGAAAGGACTCTTATGTTAAGAGATCCGCAGCTGTGGATGACAAAATTCTCTTCTTCGGTCACCTACTGTTTCATTTCATATATTCTGAAATAGTTTAAACAGTTTTTAATGCACCAGAAAACACAAAGAGATAGGCATGAATGCTCAAATGGAAACAGAAGAGAAAGGGAGGTTAAACAGAAGACTGTGTGCTAGTTATTTTATGCTGAAATATCTTTTATGATGTCAGTAAACAGGAGGAGTCATTTTATGAAATATTCATACTCACCTGCTATGCAACTATCATCTGAGATTGGTACATCAAGGTAAATAAACCCTTTATTATATAGACCTACAGAAAGATAAAAATGTTATTTTATCCTCCCAAAAATGACCCTCTTCACCCCATCATCCTTTCATTCAGTGGTACAATAATGAAACTAGGTTTGTCAGAAAACTGATAGAGAGCACAATAGGTACTGTATTATGTATAGAAGCTCAAAGTAGTTTGACTTGGAATTTCATTTTAAGTCCCTCCATTCATGAGCAACAAGGTTTTTGAATGGAACAAGAGTGTCACATGCAGCAGCTGATAAGATAGCATACATTTAACATTCCAGACTTAAGATTCCAGACTTGAGATTTATAGAACTGTACAGTCCTTTCTGTTCCCCACTCTTTTTCAACAAGTGACCTCCATGAAATATGAAATTCTTTTCATCTTATCTTTATAACCCAATGCCATCCAGATAATCTCTTGCCATCCTCTTGCCTAAGGATAACAGGAATTGTACCCAAACACAGCTAGGATATTCCATGTTGGGGAAGCTTGTAAAAGCAAAAGGTGTGCTGGTTATATACTGCTCTATAGTGCTTAAAGCACTCTCTGGGTGGTTTACAAATGAATTATGCGGATTACATATACAATGCTATACAATGAACCCAGGTCAGGTGGAGAGCTTGGATTGACTGCAGTTTAACCACTGTGCCAGAAGGCTCCTTTATCCTGTATTGTGATACTGTATTTAAAAAAAATGCAGATCTCAAGATAAAATGCACAAGTTGGAATCCAAAGAACAGTTTAAACAATTTCCAACAGTTCAAGAAGTCTATTATCCTCCATCCACAACATGCTGAACGACAAGTTTCCCCCTTTGAAAATAAAAAGGGTTCAAAAAATTTTTTTTTCTGACCAAGCATTAGGATCAGTAGTGTCAGCAAGAGAAAACAGAAAAATGCACTGTTATAGTGGTGAGTTTTAAGCAAAAGCCTAAGTAATTCTTTGGAGGAGAGCCACTGTCTGGAGTAACAGCTTGACTTATCATCTTCAATCTACTAAATAAACACAAACACACAAGATACTGCTATTCTGTTCAAAAAAGGTAAACCCAACTTACTGTGAACTACATTGTAGTCCAGAGATCCAGCAAGCTGAGGACCTGAATCAATGATTTTATCAATAGCAGATTTTTCAGAGGTAGTGCAAATCTGGTGAGAAATGTTTACAAGAAAACACACTTAAATTTACATAACTTTTTAAAAAATTATTCCAAGTAGAACTTTGACAGATGCTGCTGCCACACAGCTCAGCCTCATCCCAAGAGTCTACTAATGGGCTAATGAAGCAGGAAGACTCCCCAATCTCAATTACACAACTCTGTGTTACCCAATCAAGCCGAGTGGTAGGAGGACAATGATCGATAGTAAGGAGACACTTCCTTTGACAGCATGCAATTAGCTTATAGAATTCACTTCCACACAATAAAGCTAAGATTGCTTTTTAAAAAAGAGATTTTAAACAAGTTTAGCGGATAACAGTCCACCTATGGATCTACTAGCTGTGACATCTAAATGGAAACTCTACATCCAGAAGCCATTTACTTCTGAAAATTACATGCTGGAGACATCACATCCATATGGTCATTTTATTTATTTTATTTCTTTGATAACAAGGAATTACTGCGAGAAATGCAATTCACCACAATAACAGCTTTGGAGCCATAATGAATATCTTTTGTGTTCCTGTTATCATGGGTAGATTCATATTCAGGCATGCAGACTGTCTATACAAAGTCAGGGAGTATATCAATGCTGCCACTTCCACAGTCAAATCCATCATCTTCCAATGGATGGAGCCTGATGAGTCTGAATTGGGGAACATCTGCTGTTCGTGAGATTTCTCCATGTGAGCCATAATCCTGATTATTTAGGGTCCTAACTCACAGGGAGAGTCCCCAGAGACAGCAGAGACTCCTGAGATCAGATCAGCATTATTTCTTGTCCTTGCAAGGTTTACCCCGACATATTAAAGAATGCTTTAAGAGGAAACGCAAAGCTTAACCTTTGGCGAAACTAAAAAAAAAATTATGAAAATACCTTTATATCATCCTCTGTGATGTAACCGGCCTGAACAACCCACCAGGCATCTATGGCAATCTCAACTGGCTTCATGGGTAGCAGATCACGGGCAGTTTTCCTTCTGAAAAATTTCTGAAGTGATACAGTTCATTTCAGATGGCACAGATCATAGAGAACAAGGAAGCATCCAAGTAACAATCTAATAACTCAGAAGCAACTAATATATACAACAGTTTCTGGATACAACATATTTAAGCCAGAAACAACTGCATAATAAATTACAGACCACTTCGGTGGGTTTTAAAAATGTGCAAGTTTAAACCGAACCAATGGGATCCCAGGACAGAAAATTCTACAATTGTTTTATGATCAGTTTCTGACAGACGAAACCAATGCTGCTTTTGTTCTTTTTAGACTGAACCTTGGTTGTTTACATTTATGTAATCTCAAAGCTGGGCTTGTATAAACATATTCTGAGAACAAAGATGTAGTGACTAACTGCATAATTCAAAATGTGGCAGGGACACTGGGCATTCAGTCATTGTTATATACAACACCAACTTTCAACAACTCTACTAGCACCCTATAAATCTCTGAACACAATTCAAGGAATTGATTTCAGTCTATGACGTCCTCAGTATGTTTAATGTTTTTTCCATTACGCCCCACTGTAACTTGCAAGTTTAGTTGAGGGTAATCACTGGCTTGGACCTTCCATGTACCAAACACACAGAATAAACACTGAATGAGAGGACAGGATCAATGACAAATCATCAGCTAGCTGTAACATTTACTAGATTATGTTGTCCACTGGGTTACTGTCAGACATTGCATGAAAACTGCAGTTAGCTCAGAACACAGCAGCTAGGGTACGTTAGGGAACAATTTATGTCAATGTTGACATAAATTCATTGGTTGCCAGACCATTTCAGAGCACAACCCAAGGTGTTTATGTTTAACTTTCAAACTCTAAATGGTTCGAGATAAGAGTACTGAAACTCTGCCTTCTCGGTCAAAGAAAGACAAATGCGGTTTCAGAACATTTTACAGTTAAGTTGATTATTTTAATCTTTTTGTGTTAAAGGCATATCTCGACAAGGCTATCAGTATTACATTAGATGAAAAACAGCAGGAAGATGGGGCAAAAGGCGAAAACAAACCACGTACTTTGGATGATCTACACTGATTCATTAGATCAATGTACTGGTTTCTTCCTATGCCAAGAAGCCTTAAGCCTGAAAAAAAAAACATTTAGAAAGTCACTTTAAAAAGCATTGCACTTCTAAAATTATTCAGAGACAAAAGAATATCACTCTCTATCATTGTTTCCACCCTTGTAACTATAGTTTCTTGCCTGTTTTTTTAACAGCTATTAAGTGCATCATCAGGTAAAGGGGGGAACTTCCAGGGATCTGCTATATTTCCTGACCCATTCCTACTCCAGAACTTCAAAAGGCTTTGAAAAACAGAAATGAACAGAAGATAATTTGTAGTTTTTTAAAAAGCTCCCTTTCTCCCTGCTAAAAAATGGACCAAGATAACTAATACACTCAGGTAGACTTTTGCACCATGATAGTGCAATACAGTATTTTGGTTAAATATTTTGGTTAAATATTTTGGCTAAATATTTTGGGGGACCATTTTTCTCATTTTTGCCCATCCTTATTGAGAAAAAAAGAGGGAAAATAGTTTTACAAAGCCTTGTGACTGGTGACACCAGTGACCTTTGTTATGAAAGGACCCAATGTCATTTACCATTACAAGACATTTAACTGGAGGAAATAAATGTTCCTGTTTTGTTTAAAAACATGACCTGCTGTGCATTTTCATCATGTCATTTTCGCACCAAATACTTCCCCCTTGATTCAAAAACATGTCTGCAAGTTAAATCTGAGGCACACTTATGTCTTTGACTTGTCTGAAGTTATAAAAGGCTTTTTAAGTTTCAGACAATGCAGGCCTAACACTTTTATCAAAGAGACCTTCTATTGGAGGTTTCCAACTGTAGGCCGCATCACATTCAGGATCTGCACTGGAGAATGGAGAAGAAAGGGCAATAGAGAAGACGACCTATAGCTGCTTCTGTAAGAAGAGCATCAGGATGGAGTTGCTATTCTGCTGTTCTAGTTAGAATGATCAGCAATTCAGAAAACCAAATTCATTGCAGATGGGAAATGTTAAATCACACCAACTAGATTTCTTCTAATAGTTGGTATGCTGACAACTCTCTGTTTGAGCCAATACACTGGACTATGAAATGAGTACCCTGGCAATACATAAACTGGGGTGGAGAACTGCTGGCCTTTCCAATGTTTCAGTTTAAAATTTCTCTGACTTCCATCCAGCATGGTCAATGGTATGGGATTATGGGAACTATAGTCCAAAAACATCTGGCGAGCCAAAAGTTCTCATTAAAATAGAATTACAGTATGATACTCTTCTGCCAAACAGGAATATTACTCTTCACTTTCATCCTTTACTTTGTAGCCAAGCAGTGATTTTTAAATAGTTACACATGTTTTGCTAAAACATTATAAATGCAATTATTATGGCTTGCAACAGCTAAGTTAATAAAAAACTATTTCCAAGACAATCAGCTGGTGAAATGTCAAGTTTGTTCTCTTCTTCATCAGCACTGAATTCTATTAAACTACTCCTAACAAGTACTACTGTGTTAAAAAACTGTCATGCAGTTATGGTTTTGAAACCCACAAAAATATATTTTCAACATACTTTTTGAAATAACATTTATTTTGCACATATCAACAGAACAATTTCAAACTTACAATCTGCAGCAGTAAAATTGGGCAATGAATCATAGCTTTTTTCACTGTTCATTATATCCTTAAAAATAAAAAATCACATGTTAGATTAATTCTATTTATTTTTTTAAAGTGTACAAATGTTACATCATTATATATGCTAAACACACTTTGCATTCAAACTTTAGCTTACCAGGGTTTTATTCCTTTCCCCCACATTTAGTCTCACAAGATTTAGAACAGAACTAAATTCCAACCCTATTTTCCATTATTAGAAAATAAGTGGGTACTATATTTCATTTATTTCGTATATTTCTCTCAAGGTGGCACACATAATTCTCCTTCTCCACTTTATTCTCACAGCAAGTCTGTGAATCAATCAGGCTTAGCGGGCATGACTGGCCCAAGGTCACCCAATGAGGAACACGATTCAGTAAGAATTAAATCCTGAATCTCTGAAGTGTCAGGCCAACACTATATTGCTACAGGACAGTGGGTCTCAACTAATGAACTGAATAGTTATCAGAAGCTGCCTATTAATTCTAAGCTTTGACATATATATGTATTCCTCCCATTTGATGAGACACCTAACTATGTTTTGCTGCTTTTACTAATTACAAGTCTGGAAGCTCTTCTGTCGAAACAAAATAACTGAGCTGTGAGCCCAAATTGCAGTTACCAAGGCAGTTTGATGGAAAGTACATTGCCTGATGTTTCCTATCAAAAGCAGCCTGGCAAAAAGCTAACATTAATAGATATGTGATTCCATTTGGTAGGCATTGCACTACAGCAACAGAAATTGCTAAGAAGACACATTAGGCGTCACTTAAATGTTTTTCTTAGCTTACCTCCATTATTCCTGTGTAATATGAAAATGGTGTTATCCGCAAACCTTTGACCATGATGTCTGACAAGTGGTATGGGTATAACATGAGATGATCTCTACTGTATTTTAACAGTTCCTCATAGTATTTACGTTCATCTTTCTTAACATGTTTAACTACAAGAGAAAATAAACTTTAGCACATTTAAAAACACAAATTAGTTTAAATGTTAGCTTTCTATGGAGTGTGAACAAAAGTTTGCGGAACTTCCAATGCTGACTTGTTGTTTCACTTGCACTGAGATTTAGAGTATGCTTTGTTTACCTACACATACAAAGACAAACCATAAAAAGGAGGCAAGCAGAATACATTCAAGCATATGGCAGAGTAGCAGAAAGACTATACTGCATCACAAACTCGTCTTCTTTCAAGTGAAGGAAAATTATTCATGAACCTGAACAATCTGAAAAGGAGGACAGCTATCTAGAAGAGTACCGAAACTGAACCACCTTGTAGATTAACGCCAACACCTAGAACTGAAGCTGAATAGGGAACTGGGTATGCAGAAAGATGTGCTGTGAACTTGAGAATCATGAACACAGCAGCAAATTGTGTTTAACAGCAAAGAAATAAAATAATACAGAGCAACTGTATGGTAATAAGACATGCCACAGTCGAGCAGGGCCACTGAGGACAGGACATTTTGGACGTCACTCATTCGTAGGGTCAGCATGAGTCAAAGGTGACTTGGTAGCACTTAAAAACAACAACTTGGTAATAAGACATGCCACAGTCGAGCAGGACCGCTGAGGACAGGACATTTTGGCGGTCGCTCATTCGTAGGGTCAGCATGAGTCAAATGTGACTTGGTAACACTTAAAAACAACCTTTGGGTACATTTACAAAATACATTCTAATGAAGAGTAACAATTCCCTACATTCTTTCCTTACTCTGTGCCATTTTCTTTGTGCATTGCCTTCTTCCCTCATCCAGACTCCCTACTCATTAGTCACTTCAGTACTGTGCACAAAGCAAGCAGAAATGTATTTCTCAAAACGCTGTGGCCAGTGACACACATTTTCAAAAGTGTTATCCAACTCCCGATATAGAATTTCTCTACTCACCTAGGTTATTGCGGTACCGTAGTTGATTGCGGATACTATACAGTACAACCTGCTTTTCATATTCCCGTTGTGAATTTCCAAGACCCTACGAAACAAAACATTCCCTTATAGTCAAACTGCTAAGAGCTTTCCATAACATACTACACAGGAATGTTTACAAGCTAACGCTGGGCACACAATGATTGAAGTCAGTGTCACTCATCTTGATAGGGTTTGTTTCTGAGTAAATACATATGTTTAGGGCTTCATCTTTCCAGAGTTTAATGTACTGCTTGCCCTAAAGAAACTGTCATAATATGAATCATGTAGAAGGTTTAGGGCTTCATCTTTCCAGAGTTTAATTGCTTGCCCTAAAAACCTGTCATAATATGAATCATGTAGAAACTCCAAAGCATTTTGAGATTTTCTTTCTGAACTTTTAAAAACTAATTCATGCATGGTAATTCCTTATACAAGTAGCAAATATAATGCATGATAGCAACTTGCTTGTGCTTAGTGGTGCCATACACACACTGCTCTAATTTAGTATTATGAAGACAAGCTACTGCTTACACACTCTTCCACTTGATGTGTTCACAAGGCGATTGCAAGCTTATTTCAGACTAACCACAGTTTAGCATTACACTGGTACACTATACTGTAATTAATTCCAACTCTTGCTTTCTTGAATGGGCTTCTTTAAACAAACCATAATTAAGATTAGTCAGTTTATGGTATTTAGATGACACAGCAAGATACAGCTGATCTACAACAGAAATACTTCTGAATTTTTCCTCATGGTCATCCTGAAGGTCCAGAGAGGGTGTGAACCCATTATTTGTAAGGCTTAACCAATTTAGCTTTCTGCATTATATCCAAGCTAGCCCACTGTCAGGCACTGTATCATGCTACTAGCAATTTACTGCAATTGTTTTCAGTCCATGGTGCTTAAAAACTGCTATTGCTGTTGGCAGATATATTCTGCCTGTAACAGTTTGGGTCTGTGCAACTGGCTGGCCCTAAGCAGGGAGCCAGAATACACATTTGCCAGATACTGAAGTTGACATTTGCAAGCTACGGGTCAAACTACCTTTAGGCGCAACCCACATAATAAACTACTGAAAGCCACAAGTCAAAATATTTGAAAGAAATGCTGATTATTGCAGTGATACAACTGGACAAGCAGGGTTAAAAGTTTCACAGGGATCATATACCTCGGGAATTAGGTAAAAAGATCATGCAGATGGGCACCTCAGGCTTACAGGGTCTTTAGCAGCAAGATGAGGAAGATTGGGGAATCACAGATGGCCAGAGTCTAAAATACAGGGCTAGAAAATCCAATTTTATTTAAAATGACAACTTTGTTGCCTAAATAAATTGGGGGCATAGATGCACTCTGAGGTCCTTCTTGGAGTGGTGAGATTAAAAACAATGAATAAATGAAACTCCACAACGACCTTGGACTACACCAATAATAACACATGAAAGAAGCTGTGGTGGTTCAAACTAAAGGTCCACCTAGTACAGCATCCTGTTCTCACAGCGGCCAAACATATCACTGTGGGAAACCCACAACAGGTCAGAAGTGTGCCACAACATGCTCCCTGCTGAGATATACCCCCTGCAACAGGTGATCATTTTAAAGCCATCATTATTAACAGTCACTGACAATCTTATCTTCCATGGGATGCTGGCTAGAGTCAGTGAAAGCTTGCACCAAACAAAACTTTCAAGACACCCCAAGATTGACATTTTTGGAAATAATGTGCAACCATGGATAGATAACCTCACCCCTTCACAAGGCAGCAGCAATGCCCACAAGGAAGAGGTGGGGCTCCTCGGAAATCGCGTAAATTTAAATTAGAGGGAAAAGAATTAGCATCAACCTCAAGACTGGAGAGAGAGACAAGGCAGAGGAACACGAGTCCCGGGGAACTGCCTGACACGAGGTGGGTGGGGAAAGAACAGC